GCTTCCTACTAGCTACTGTAGTGACAACCCACCTACTAGCTACTGTAGTGACAACCCACCTACTAGCTACTGTAGTGACAACCCACCTACTAGCTTCCTACTAGCTACTGTAGTGACAACCCACCTACTAGCTACTGTAGTGACAACCCACCTACTAGCTGTAGTGACAACCCACCTACTAGCTACTGTAGTGACAACCCACCTACTAGCTACTGTAGTGACAACCCACCTACTAGCTGTAGTGACAACCCACCTACTAGCTACTGTAGTGACAAACCACCTACTAGCTGTAGTGACAACCCACCTACTAGCTGTAGTGACAACCCACCTACTAGCTACTGTAGTGACAAACCACCTACTAGCTTCTGTAGCTACTGTAGTGACAACCCACCTACTAGCTACTGTAGTGACAACCCACCTACTAGCTGTAGTGACAACCCACCTACTAGCTACTGTAGTGACAACCCACCTACTAGCTACTGTAGTGACAACCCACCTACTAGCTACTGTAGTGACAACCCACCTACTAGCTACTGTAGTGACAACCCACCTACTAGCTACTGTAGTGACAAACCACCTACTAGCTGTAGTGACAACCCACCTACTAGCTGTAGTGACAACCCACCTACTAGCTACTGTAGTGACAACCCACCTACTAGCTGTAGTGACAACCCACCTACTAGCTACTGTAGTGACAACCCACCTACTAGCTACTGTAGTGACAACCCACCTACTAGCTGTAGTGACAACCCACCTACTAGCTACTGTAGTGACAAACCAGCTACTGTAGTGACAAACCACCTACTGTAGTGACAAACCACCTACTAGCTTCTGTAGCTACTGTAGTGACAACCCACCTACTAGCTACTGTAGTGACAACCCACCTACTGTAGTGACAACCCACCTACTAGCTACTGTAGTGACAACCCACCTACTAGCTACTGTAGTGACAACCCACCTACTAGCTACTGTAGTGACAACCCACCTACTAGCTGTAGTGACAACCCACCTACTAGCTACTGTAGTGACAAACCACCTACTAGCTTCTGTAGCTACTGTAGTGACAACCCACCTACTAGCTACTGTAGTGACAACCCACCTACTAGCTTCTGTAGCTACTGTAGTGACAACCCACCTACTAGCTACTGTAGTGACAACCCACCTACTAGCTGTAGTGACAACCCACCTACTAGCTACTGTAGTGACAACCCACCTACTAGCTACTGTAGTGACAACCCACCTACTAGCTACTGTAGTGACAACCCACCTACTGTAGTGACAACCCACCTACTAGCTGTAGTGACAACCCACCTACTAGCTACTGTAGTGACAACCCACCTACTAGCTACTGTAGCTACTGTAGTGACAACCCACCTACTAGCTACTGTAGCTACTGTAGTGACAACCCACCTACTGTAGTGACAACCCACCTACTAGCTGTAGTGACAACCCACCTACTAGCTACTGTAGTGACAAACCACTTACTAGCTTCTGTAGCTACTGTAGTGACAACCCACCTACTAGCTACTGTAGTGACAACCCACCTACTAGCTGTAGTGACAACCCACCTACTAGCTTCCTACTAGCTACTGTAGTGACAACCCACCTACTAGCTACTGTAGTGACAACCCACCTACTAGCTACTGTAGTGACAACCCACCTACTAGCTGTAGTGACAAACCACCTACTAGCTACTGTAGCTACTGTAGTGACAACCCACCTACTAGCTTCTGTAGCTACTGTAGTGACAACCCACCTACTAGCTACTGTAGTGACAACCTAAAAATCACCAGAACATAGAATCTCTTCTACAAATATAACGGTTTTAAAATGAAAATGTGTGTTTTCTGAGACATTAAAGCAACGTTTTGTGAAAATAAATTGTCTGTTGTCACTAAGGCCACGTGTATTATGTGACTAGAGGTGTAAAAACTACTCGTAGGATCTAAGTAATCCTATGCAACTCAAGATGAAGTACACAAGTATAATCCCTTTCAGATACTTTGTAAAATACTGTGTAGTATTAGTAGTTCAGTCCTGTGTTATATCATGTGTTTTAATATGAAGAAAGCTTGTTAAAACTAGTAAAACGACTATTTGCCTCTGAAATTAAGTGGAGTGAAGTATAAAGTGGCATAAAATGGAAATACTCGAGTACTATTTAGTCATAATGTTACTTTACCCAAGTATTCACTTAGCAGAATATCACAAATCAAGTAATACTGTAGGCAATAATGATGAAAAAAATAGTTTGAAGATTTTGTGTTGACTGCTTATTGGCGAGGTTGATAAAGTTTCATTAATGACCGCCTTTTTCTTACATTATCCCTTACTTATAAATGACCAGAATACAGCCAACGAAGATGTAAAAAATATAGAGATTAAAGAAAAATATATACTGGAATTCGTGTTATTAAAAAAAGTTTAATAATTGCAGTTACTGAGAGTTAAACGTGTCGTTTTAGGCCAAAAATATGCATGTTATGTTCAAAGCACAAGGATAAAGTCACAGGTTTATATAAAAAATTAGGGCTGTGCAATTAAATCGTATTTTAATCTCGATTACGATTTTGGCTTGCAACGATTACGAAAACAACGTAATCGAAATAAAACGATTATTAATTTTATTTAAAAAAAATATATATTAATTATTTTTTATTATTTTTTTAATTTATTTTTTCAGTTGAATTATACTTTAAGTTCAGGGTAATCAACTGTTAAAAACAATACTGTTCACATTTTCTTTTTCAATAAATGGATGTTTTCAAAGTAAATGGATATTTTTTTTTAATAATCGTGATATCAATTATTGACCAAAATAATCGTGATTATGATTTTGGCCATAATCGCACAGCCCTAGCAAAAATCATCAACAATTTAATAAAATATCAGTGCTATATTACCATTTACACTCCAGGGGCTTTCTATATTAAAAAAGTTTATTCGCTGAGAGTTAAACGTTTAATTTTAAACCAAAAGTATGCAAGTTACGTTCAAAGCACTAGGATAAAAATCACCAAAAACATCAGTTCTACATCGTCATTTATCCTCTTGGTGCTTTATATAATAATAAATCAACCAGAACACGGACGAGAATCAGAGCCCAGGTAATAATTTCCCCAATGATGATGGAAAGAACACAGATGAGATAAAACACGGACATCCTGCACAGCTAATTGGGGAGTTTAACAATAGGAAGGAGCGGCAGAGGCCAGAGGAGGTGATACCGAAATCCTGAGGAGCCCAAAAAAAACCCTTCATTTGCATCAAGTGGCCCCAGAATAGCTTCGACTCCCCCGCGCGCTATCAGTGGAAACGGCAGATTATTCATCTGCTTGCAAATTGGCACATCAAAGTCAAACTGCAGAGCGGCGTGATTAGATGACGGGGAGAGAATCGGCTTCAATATGAGACGACGTTCAGTCATTTCTGAACAAAAGGGAAGCCGTTTAATGTTTAAAAAAGCAACATATTTGGGTCTGTAAGAGACACAGTTTAGCGCTGCGTGTAAAGAGGGAAATAGTGACGGTAACTGATGGTCAATGTTTTGTTTTTTGGCATTTACACAATGCCGTTTGTTAAAAAGAAGAATTTAATCTGCAGGTAGTCTTTGTTAATTAGAGATATGAACATGATTGAAGTCGTCTCAAAGCCATGTACTGATTCTATATGATTACGGTGAGCCTGATGTTGGTCAAATAGGAATCTGAC